GGTCCCTCCAGTAAACGTGGGCAACATCTAATCCATCAGGGCAAAGATTGAACAAAAAGGCAGAGGAAGGCTGAATTGTTCTTTTGTTTGACTAGCAAGCACACATTCTCCTGGCTGGGACATCTGAGTCTCCAGTTCACTAGCTTTCAGACTCAATCTAAGAGTGATACTTTGTCCCCCACAGCCAAGGTCAGACTCAGAATGAATGATCCTACTGGCTTTCCTGCTTCTAACTTGCAGACAGCATATCATGGATTCCTCTGCTCCATAACCCTGATAGTCAAATTCCATAATAGAGAAGCACATACATACATACATACCTAAGTATCTCCTATTGGTTCCGTTTCTCTGGAGAATTCCGACTAGTACACATAGCAAACAAATACATAAATTGATCACAATAATTCATGAATACGTTTGAAATACCAAAGGTAACGTAAAACATGACAGCACATCCATTCATTGATGTTAGGCATGGACTGGCTGAGATGCCTTATAATACAACTCCGTGGGAGTCTGCAGAGAAGATAGTTTTTCTGGTCAACCTGTCTGTTCATCATTACTATTTCAGGGTGTCCAAAGGATAAGCCAGTCTGCCTGCTCATTTTGCTGACCTAATGTGCGTGAGGGTCTCTGGGAAGCTTTGCAGGGTTGGCAAACAAAGGGAGAGGAGTTGCTTCCATGGTGACTTCTGTAACTGGGGTCCATCTCTATAGCAGTCTTAGGGGCTCAAATCATCTATTCAACTTGAGCCCACCCCATGAAGATGTTAAATGCAGGGCGGTTCCCAGTCAAGTCATAATAAATTGGTAATGACTTGTAGGAACTTTCTGCACACCTTTTTCTCTTTTTTTAATGACAGAAGGCATGTCAGGGGTCGGAGGTGGTAAGAGAGAGAAATAGCCTTGCAACAGGGCTGGTCATAACACAATAATTTTTTTACTGCATTTTTCCATCTTGGTAGGGTCCTGGCATGCTTCACATATTCCTAAAGTGTTGCTGCTGGGTCCGGGATTTGAACCACAGTCAAAGCATGTGGGATCCAGCACCCTCTGCACAGCATTCAATCACTGTACTGTGGAGCCAGCACTGTATACCCCTCTTGGCCCTGGAGGATATTTGTAGAACTGAGTTTGGTTCAGCCTGCCTATCCCTGCCCTAGCACCTCTTCAAGAATCACCAGCCCAGGGCCAGCTGGTGGCCTGGTAGTTAGGTAGCTAGATTCCACATGGCCAACTGTGTGATTTGAGTCCTGAACCTAATGACTTATAAAACAATCTGGACCACATGCTTACATGCCCAAAATCCTGGAAGAAGGGAAAGATGGAGGAGAAGGGATTGCAGTGTGACCATTCCCCACTGGGGAGGTGGGTGGTGTTTTCTCACGTTCCTTCTGTCTGTTTTTCTCTTATGAGTACATGCACTCTCTGTGAAAACTAAAATTAATTAATTAATAAATCACCACTCTGGCACAGGCTGCCAGGTCCTGGACAATGTGCTGAGACTGAGAGCTGTGGTGGAGGGCTGCTCAGAGAGTCACACCACTCCCCACTCTGTGTCCTGGGAGCCCAGGCTGGCCAGCCCATTCACTTCTCTGCTGCCCCTCCTTCTCTCCTTCCAGATCCGCAGGCTGATGTCCGCAGGCCCTGCCGCAGGGCAGGATGGTTTCTAGGTCCTTCCTGCAGGGAATTCCCTCTACCAACTGGTTTTCAGACAGAGAGAGAGACAGAGAGATCGAAAGCGAAATATCACCCCCAGGGGGGATGGCCAAGCCGCAATCCCTTCTCCTCCATTCTCCTCTCGGGATCTTGGGCACGCATGCACACGTGCCTGGCGTGAGATTAAGCCACTGGGTCTGGGACTCGAACCGCAGTCGACTACGTGGGAGTCCAGCAACATAGCCATTACGCTAACTGCTGGTCTCATTCTGGGATCATTTTAGGCAGAATTTCTATTCTTTGGGACAAAAAATGACCCAATACGTTTTGATCATCCTGCAGAATTTTTTTTTTTAAGAGGTTTTTGCCATAGAATGTGTGCGCTTGTGGGAGAGAGTAAGACAGACAGTGAGAGGGAAAGTGAGAAATCAACCCCCAGTGGGGATGTTCATGCCACAATCCCTTCTCCTCCATTCTCCTTTTGGGATCTGAGGCATGCATGCACATGTGCCTGGTATGATTTTCAAGCCACTGGGTCCAGGACTGAAACCGCCACTGGGTATTCGGTGACCTAACCACTATGCCATCTGCTAGCCCCCTGCAGTGTTTTTGATAATTGGTCCTTCTTCACATCTGCAGTCAGGAGAGAGCACGTCTATACCCAGGTGACTAGGTCACACTGGGACTGGATTTTGAGAAGTGAGAGCTGGCTCCCATGACTTGCTTCAGAGCACTCTGCATTCCCCATCACCCCGCTCCCTAAGCCTTTCCCAGCCCCATTTCATCCATTGCCTAATGCTCTAGGCCCTGTGGCCCCTGCGTTTGACAGCCGGCCGGCTGGCCGGCCGTCTCCTTGTCCCCCACCTCCTGCAGAATTAGACTTTTCCTTCTGAAGGGCCACCTGTGCTGTGAGTCCCATTGTCCTGGCTCCTCAGAGTCCTTGTCGGAGCTAGCATGGCTTCCTTCTCCTGCATACAGCCTCTCTCCCTCCACTGCCTCTCAGTGTATAAAACAGTCAATTGTGTCCTAAATTGTCAAAGTCTCTCCCTTGTAGTTCTCACCTGGTTCCAGGCATGTGACAGACTGCAGTCTCCTCAAAGGATGGTTCTTCACATGCTGAGGAGACATGGCAGGGCAGCACCCACTGTTTTTGGAAAAAAAGAATGACCAAATAGATGAACAAAAATTTAGCAATATCTGTCCCATGTTTTTCAAAATTATTATTCTAATGAATGTTAGCTTTAAAAAAAATCATTTTCTCAATTGGATGTAGAAATTTCATTTTTCCAGACTGAAAGATGTATGAAACTCAGAATGGCAAGCTCTTGAGGTATGAGAATTGTTGCTGCTTGCAGGGTCAGGCACTGTGTGTGTGCAAGGTACCATCTCCTCTCTGTGGACACACCCACTTGGGAAGTTACTTTGAGGTAGAGGCCACTTTCTGAGCCTGGACACAGATGGAAACTGAGATGGGAGGTCCAGCTTGATATGAATGGCTGGGGAAGGTTTGCAAAGGGACTGAGTTCCAGCCAACCCAGTGACAGTCTCTGCCCTCCTACCTTAGCAGAGATGGGCAGACAAGGAAGATTTAATAGGGATGAGATGGCAGAGCAGCAGTTGGCGTAATGGCTATGTTGCTGGACTCCCATGTAGTCGCCCACAGTTCGAGTCCCGGACCTGGTGGCTTAAACTCCTGCTGCGTGCGTGTGCATGCATGCCCAAGATCTGGAGAGGAGAATGGAGGAGAAGGAATTGTGGCATGGCAATTCCCCCTGGGGGGTGATTTCTCACTTTCTGTCTCTGTCTTTCTGGCAAGCGCACACACCCTTATAGCAAACACACACACACACACACACACACACACACACACACACAAAGCCGAAAAAGCTCTCCAAAACAGGGATGAGATGAAGGCCAGCTGCCTTCTTCCACCTCACTCCACACTTCATCCTGGTGGGTCGTGACCTTGATTGATACAGGAGTTCGAATCCTGCAATCCTAACAGACTTTGCCTATTTCCAAATCTTGTTTTTCTGCAGTGCAACCACCTTGCCCTTGAATTAGTGAAGCCCTTTCTCTTTAGGTGCACTGCCCTGTTTTCATGTATCTTTGATCTCTTCTAATATCCTTAAACAAAGAAAAACCAAGTATTAGTTTTGAAATCGTTTTATGTCTACACAGGAGAAATCTGGCATAGAGAAAGTGTCACGCAGGACTGTACCACAGGTCACAGATGACAGAGTGACATCAAAGACCATTTGGGCCACCTTCTTAGATCCAAGACCATACACGGGTCAGGAGCCGGGGCCAGGGCTAGAATGTGGGCACAGGACAGCTGAGGGGTGAGTGGGCCTGGCCTGCTTGTGTTCCTGGGGGATTCCAGGGGACTCCTCTGTGGCCATAACCTTTGCCCTCTCCCCCTTCCCCAGAGCAGGAAGCTCCTCAGAGGACAGATTCTCCAGCCTTTATCACATTTCCTGAGTGACCACTGTGTGCTGGTCACCTCGCTGACTGGCAGGGTATTTCTGGGAAGGCACCCCAAATACCCCAGCACCTGACCAGTTCTGGGTCTGGGTTTAGATTCACAAGCAGCACCTCAGTAGTCTTGGGTAACAATCCAAGCCTGCCGGTGGAAGGGGAGGTCCCCCAGAGCCTTGAAGGACAACTGGAGAGCACGTTTTCTTTTGTCCTTTGCCCTGGGGCTCGGTTCTAATAAAGCTGCTGCTGCAGACTGATGGCTCTGGGGAGTGTAAGGCCTGGGGGGCGGTGCTGTTGGGGAGCTCTCCGACTGGCTGAGTCCTGGCCTACCAGGAGTTCAGTGCTGAGTTAAGACTCGGTCGCCGCAAGCTCAGA